GCATCGGCAGGCGGACTCTCAACCACTGCGCCACCAGGGAGGCCCGTAGGAGGTTTTTTTTAAGCATGGGGAAGCCACCAGAAGCCAGAATGAATCTAGGAAAATGATCGAGTGGGAGGATGCTTAATTTGTAGCTGGGTGTTGTATTTTTTTAATACTTGCTCTCAGAGCTGTCCTGCTTTTAAACTGATACAAATGGAAGCAATGGGTAACCAACTGACCTGTTTTCTTTGGGATTTAGTACAAGATGACTTTAAGAAATAGCCTGAATTGTGATGATTCTTTGGTATCTGTATCCTAGGGTCACCCCTGAGCTTGGCCCAATCTGCTAGGACCTATGATGCCATTTTCACCCTGGTGGCAGCTTCCAGAGCCCCAGGTTGTAGCCCTACCTTCCCTTGGGAGGAAGTCTACAGCCTCTGGAGCTGGACTGCAGATTCACACTGAAGGCACACTGACAGGCATCTCCATCAGAGACCACCTGGAATCCCAGCTTCCTCCAGGGCACACTGGGCTATACACAGGGCAGGGCCCAGGACCTGCAAGAGGCTCCTTTGTTAGGAGGCCAGGGCAGGCCTCTGGCCTTGAACCAGCTGGACCTGATGTCCCTTGAGTGTCCTTCTCTTTGTGGTCTGTCCTCCCCAAGTGCTTGGGTCACTTGGCCACTCTGTGCCAGCCCCCTGTGGTCATCACCCACCATCCCAGTGGAACTGTTCCTCTGACAGTGGTGCCCCTTGCTCTGGGGCCTGGAGCTGAGACCATCTCTTCCAGTTCTGGACCATCCTGTGCACTCAGTCAGCCGCTGACTCTCCTGCCGACCCTCCTACACAGGGACACAGGGTTAGAACCTCCTGACCTGGATTCCACCCTGGACAGTGTCCTTGGAATTTGTCACAGCTTAGCAAACTGGGAAGGCACGATGGACTGGGAATCAGCAGATGGGATTCTGAGTACCATTTTGTCCCGCTTGTAGGTCCTTGACCATGTTCCTTTTTTTTTTTTTCCCTTTGCCATGCTGTGCAGCTTATGAGATCTTAGTTCCCTGACCAGGGATTGAACCCAGGCCTTTGGCAGTGAGAGCGTGGAGTCCTAACCACTGGACTGCCAGGGAATTCCCATCTTGACCATGTTCTGTTCCATGCATGCATCAGTTGTTTTCTGCCTATCAGAGCTGCCCAGCAGACACCTGCCTTTCCTGCCCACCCCTTTCCCAGCTCAGAAGATAGTCAGCGGCCAGCAGTAGCTGGAGCCCCAGAACCTGGACTACCACATCTAAGTCTCTTCCTCTCCCTCCCAAACCCATCTCAGATGCCCCCTCCCCGCCCCCAGGCCACCAGGTGGCTGAGGTGAGGTCAGTGTGCGGGCACAGGCAGGAAGGTGGGGAGCAGGCCCAGAACGGGCCCAGCTTTCCAGTTCCCTCCATCTCAGGGTTGGGGGGGGCTCTGAGCTGTTCTCAGCCATCCGTCTCGCCCCGCCTTTTCTACCACAGCCAGGGGGTGGGCCCTGGAGGCGAAACAAGTGCGTGAACACCCCTGGGGTCCAGACACGCAAACCTCTGGCACCACCATGTCCCCAGTGAACCCCTAGTCCAGTCTCAGTTTCCTTTTCTGAAAAATGGTAGTGGGGGGTTGGATGCAAAGTTGTCCTCGTGGCCTGTGGCCCTCCGAGTAGGACTGGGAAGGCAACGTGGAGGATCCTCACTCCCCCACCCACATTTTACAGATAAGGAAACTGAGTCTCTTTCCCAGAAGGAGAGTCATTGCTTTAAAAAGGCCTTGACCTTTTTTAAGACCCCTGTTGGTCAGATTGCTTTGCTGAAAATCTGGACCAGTTCATGTCCATGAGCAGGGATGATACGGCGCATTTTGCAGATAGGGAAGAAGAGGCCCAGAGAGGTGAAGGGATCTGGCCCAAGATACAACAAGCAGCGGTGGAGCTGGGCTACACCCGGGCGCCTACCTGTCCAGAAATTCCCTGGCCCAGGTGCTCTCCTGGGGAGCAGCAGACTCCAGGCGTTGATTCCAGGCTTTACTCCTTGTTTCTATCACTACTCAAAGATTTCCCTCCCCAGCTGGTCTCTTTCTACAGTAAGAGGGATCCACGATAGACTGGGAGAGCTGCTTGTTGGGATGGGAACTGAGGGCAGTAGCCTGCCTCCCACTAGCCTGTTTCTGGACAGTTTTTCCTGATGGAGGGTCAGGTGTCCCGGAGGTCCCCAGGGCCCCACGGGGCGGGGGGGCGGGGTTGGCTGAAGTCTCAGTTCCTCCTGGGGCTTCCGGCAGGCACGTCTCACTTCCTGCCCTGGCAGCCCTAGCTCCCAGCTCAGGCTGGGGGTGGGGAGGCCCAGCTGGTGAGGCCAGGGAGGAAGGACCTGACCCCTAACCTCCCTCTGTCTCGGCAAGGATGGCCCCCTTGCCTTTAGACGCTGTGGCATCTCTTTGGGCCTATCTCCCATATTCAAAATGGAGCCTGAGGACCAACCAGTTGTCCAAGATTAAAGAGGTCATGTGGAAAGTATGGTCTCCACCTCACAAGTGCCTCTACTTGCTTCCTTCCCTGGAATGCAGACACTTTTCTGCCCAGGGCCCCCAACCCTTAGAAATTCCCTCTGGGAAGTGAGTTTCCCAGAGCTGGCCTGAGGCTCTGGTCTCAGGAATTACTACTCCCATCGCTCATCTATTTACTGCACCGTTGATCACACCAGATCCCAGCACGCCTGCTTTGTGCCAGGACCATTCTGGTCAGTGCCAGGAGGTCAGCCTCAGACCCTGCCATTAGGTCTTATTCCAGTGGGAGAGACAGAGCGGGACACAGTGACAGGACAGGGTGATCCCTGCCAGAGCCAGGGAATGCCCCAAGCGGGGGAGTGACTAATTATATACATATATTTATTTATTTATTTATTTATTTATTTATTTATTTATTTATTTTTGGCTGAGTTGGGTCTTCATTGCTGCACGCAGGCTTTCTCTAGTTGTGGCGAGCAGGGCTACTCTTCCTTGCGGTGCGCAGGCTTCTCATTGCGATGACTTCTCTTGCTGTGGAGCACGGGCATTTTTGGCTGTTGGGTCTTCATTGCTGCACGCAGGCTTTCTCTAGTTGTGGCGAGCAGGGCTACTCTTCCTTGCGGTGCGCAGGCTTCTCATTGCGATGACTTCTCTTGCTGTGGAGCACGGGCTCTAGGCTCACGGGCTTCAGTAGTTGTGGCTCACGGGCTCTAGAGCGCAGGCTCAGTAGTTGTGGTGCAGGGGCTTAGTTGCTCTGCGTCATTTGGGATGTTCCCGGACCAGGGCTCAAACCCGTGTCCTCTGCAGGGAGATTCTTAACCACTACGCCACAGGGGAAGTCCCGGGGAGGGGGGAGGTGACTAATTTAGCATTTAGAGTACTTTGGAGAGTAGGAGGTATGCCCTGAGTTCTGTGGAGTTTTCCTGCTGGAACAGAGCAGAGAAAGGGCATTCTTGGTCCAAGGAACTGTGTGCAAAGGTGCAGAGAAGAGGGGGCAGGAGGAGGGGCTGGAGACTTGGGCACTGTGGCCCCTGAGTGCCAGGTGAGGCTGTCAGAACCTTCCCTGTGGCCATTCTGCCCCATGGCACACAGGGGCACCCACCTCAGGGAACCCAGTGCTCCTCCAGCCCCATCATTTGGTGTCACCCTTTCTGTCACCTCTGAGAAGCTACCAGACCCCTCTAGCCCTTCTCTGGGCACAAGGTGGGAGCTCACTCCCATTTGCTCTATTGTTGGTGGCTCAGGCCAAATTCTCCCTCACCCAGAACGGAAATCTGACCTCTCTCCAATCTGAGCCAGCTCCCCAGCTGCCTGATCCTGACCTGGGGGTGGGGAAGGGGGGGTTGGGGCGTAGGAACCACTGCCCAAGGTCACATGGAGAGTCGAGGAGAAGCCAGGAGGACACCCATGCCTGTGTTCCAGCCCATGCTCTTTCCGGGGACTCTGCAGGGGTCCCAGGGCCCAGCGGGCCTCTGAGCATCTCCTCACTCCCCTGAGCTGCAGAGACTCTGAGGACCGGGCGTCCTGCATGGATCTAGGACGGTGCCAGCGACTCCAGGGCAGGTGAAAGTCTATCTCGGCAGCTCCTGCGGTCAGCGAGACCGGTGGCACTTTGACCGCCAGCCTTCAGGCACCAGAAGGCGGGGCTGTGGGACGGAGTGGGTGGGGCCAGGGCTAGAGGCGCGACGAGGGCGGGGTCGAGAGAGGTGGGGCTGAGGAACCCCGAGCCTCCAGGTAGCAGGAAAGGGGCGGGGTCAGGAGCATGTAGAAGGGGTGGGTTCAAGGCCCACCCGCAGGGAAAAAGGGAGGCCACGGATGAGCGGAGGCTACCAACTGTAGCCTCTCTAAACTCTGGACCACCGCGCTCACGCGGGGTCCCCATCCTCAAGCGAGGCCCGAGGACCGCGGCCCGAGCCAGGAGGGGTCCAAATGCAGGGCGTGGCCCCGACTCTGGGGAGAGATGGCCTTCCCCACTCCGTCCCCGGCCCTCCGGCTCCGGGCTCGGAGCTGACCTCGGAGGTGTGTCCCAGTAATGGGCAGGCTAGTGGGTCAGGGAGCACCTGTCCCTGGTGGAGGCGCTGTATGGCCTCTGCCGAGCACCGTCCTCTCTGGGTCTGTTCCCGTGCTATGGTCTTGGTGGGCAGCTCCGGATTTGCACCTTCATTGGGTGATGCGAATTAAGAAGGGAAGTTGAGCTCCAGTTCCCAGCACCACCACCCCGAACCCCCGCTCCCTCGCAACCTCAGGAGCCCGGGGGTACCCTCCCTCCCACAGGCAGCTGGGGCCTGAGTCACGAGCTGCCTCTCATGGAGACAAAGGAGCCTCAGGCCCTCCCCTCCACACCCCGCTCCCGGTACTGGCTTCGCATCTGCACTAGCAGGGAGTACATAGTCCCCTAGAATCTCTGCTTCTTGCATAACCCTCCACCATGGACAAAATAGAAGCAGGATGGGCTTGGGAATGAGGCCTTTGAGGCTTGTGGATGGCACCCACAGTGGCAATCACAATCTTCTCAGCACCGCTGTGGTGGGGGCTCCCAAAAGGCTGCATGTTCCTGGATGTTTATCATCCAGAGACCCATTGGCTTCTCCCTGCAGCCCTGCCAAAGAGGAGCTAGCAGCCCATCTTTGCAGATGAGAAAACCGAGGCCTAGAAAGGTCAACTGGTCTTACTAGAGCAGGAATTCTAACCCACATTAGTCTGGTTCCAAAATGAAGAATAAATAGGAGCTCTCAGTGTGAGGGGCTGGAAAGGCCTTCCAGGAAGAAACAACCTGTTGGAAGGCCTGGGGGCTTATGGAGGAGTTGTTGTGTCAGGCGTTAGTCAGGCACTGCGTGTGCTGCTAGTGGGTAGAAACACTTGCCTGGCCTCTGGGCTGGGGTCCTCCAGCTGCTCTCTCTGTTTGTACTAAACTGGCCAGAAGGTAGGTTTGGGGCTCACAGGGCAGGTTCCAGGCCATACCCCAGCCCTTCCAGGCGGTGTGCCGGTCACAGCAAGTCATTTCTTCTCCCTGGGTCTTGGGTTTCTCTCTAGGAGGGCTGGGCAGACTGGTGACCTACCACCTAAAATCAGGACACTGAGGCCCAGGACAGGTTTTCCTTAATGTCCACAACCTCTCCTCTCAGGACCCTGAGCCAGAGCTGGACACCAGGCAAGAACTCAACAGTGAGGGAAGAACACATATGCAGAGGCATATCCACACTGACACACACATGTACACACATGTGCGGGGAAGGCTCTCATAGCTGTGTCAGCACCAGACATGCACACTCTCACTCACATTCGTGAGCACACTCAGACACCCGCACACTCCAGCTTTCGGAGCTGGGGGTGGGGCGGGTTCCCTTCATGAACAGAGACACGGCTCCTCTGTCCGCCACATGGGGCTCACTGCAGATGCCAGGGGTTATTTTAAGCCTGGATCAATGGATGATTTTTGGTGACACAGGCTTGGGGACGGCGGGCAGTGGAGATGAGGGGCTGGTGCTCTGGTGCCTTGCTTTGGAGAGAGACCCCAGGGTCCAGGGAGGGCAGCCTGAGCAAAGGGATCCCCCCTTAGCTGGACTGCTCTCTCTCTAGATCCCCTTGCCCAGCACATGCCTGGGCACCTGGGGGACAGTGTCAGCTGAATGAATGGCCAGACCCCAGGGCTCAGCCAGTTAGCTGTGGTCTGTCTTTGCATTTGCCCTCTCCTGCTTCCCCCACCGCAAGGCTATGTGTTCACATGGAGAGGGCATGGAGTGCCTTGCACAGACCTGGTAGATGTGGGCATCTGTTGTTCCTGGCTGACCACTGAACAAGACTGAGATGGGGAGGATGGATGTGGGGAGGAGTTGGAGGTTGGACATCAATCCCTTGGGGGCACAGTGGAGGGGGCAGCTGAAAGCCAGCTCCTTCATTGGATAAATGTATATAT